CTCGTGTTACAAGTAGATTTTCAAAATTACCTATTTGGATGAACACATGCTAAGCTTTCATTTGTCATTTGGCAGACAGCATCATATCAAGAATGGTGAAGCTATATATGTTGCTTGGTTTCTTGCTCTGAGGACGCCTGTCAACAAAATAAGAGAGTTTAGCACGGATTCTCATAGCTCGTAGGTCGGTGAGCCGAGGATCTCTTCTCATAATCCAACAGTCTTCACTCATTCAGCTTCCGGTAAAACCAATTCGCTAATTTCTTGCAACCAACTTTTCATTCGAAATGGAAATCCGAGCCTCAACCAATTCACATGTCTCTTGGAAAGTTGTAGATTGGTGAAAAGGTGGCAAAACTCACTGACTGTGTCGATTACGATGCCGGCGAACGTCTGGAAATCTATGAGATCCACGATATGGCATCAAATCTTGTCATGAACACTGTGGCAGATGAGTCAGGACAAAGAGTGTTTCATCGAGGCTCCGTTGACAATGCGACCAAGTTGCTAAGACGTAGTCAGACCATTTCTATACAGGGAAAGGAGTCTGACCAAATTAGAGGTTACACCTTTCTGGTCTTCGTATCCACTTGGCCTGTCAAATGTAGCAATTCCAATTAAGGTCCTTGTTGTACTTATTCATGCCATTTCGTACGGCGCTTTGTCAACTGATGCTGCAGTCGTGGAAATAGGAGGCTCGAGTTTGCATTGAAATTCAATCAGTCGTGCGTTAAGACTGGCCCGTTTTGGCGGTCTCGACTATGGCTCACTAGCATTCTCAGAGGGACTCGAGGTAAAGTTTACTGGGTCAAAGCCAGCTTTATTTACCGAATGAGCACTGACGAAAACTAAAGTAATGTTTCGACTTTACTGACAAACACACAGTTGACCTACCATCCTGCCGAGAAGCGTGTGGCCTGGGGGGAAATTTGTTTGTATAAAACCTATTGCGTCTACAGTTCGAGTCCTGCTGATTCAGGCGTGATCGAATCTACGGTCAAGCACGGGTAGAGATGGCGAATTGGAAGCCTGGAAGCAAACGCGAGCCCTGTCATAATTCGTGGTTAGTGGAAGAACTGTCGTTTCTTAGGACCGCACATGAAAGTGGCGTTTTTTGATGATAAACGAAGCGAAATGGAACTATGAATTGACCTTTCGGATGATGCGGACCCTTATCGGAGTTGTCCTCCCATCCGTCCTGATTCAAAAGCCAGAACTATAAATGCCTCGAGCGAATATTACAAAGGAAGGTAATGTATGGGGACCCTACCTCGAGTGTGAAGTTTACGATTTGCCTAGTCTGGCTAACTTAGTCACAGTTGAATCTGTGCCCACTTAGCTTAGAGACTCGTTACAACTAACTGCCGAAATCCTACCTGAATATCAACCAGGCGAGTTGTGAATTGGGGAAAACCCAAAATTGTACTGTTCTCTTTATGCCCATTTCAGACTTGGTGGAGATGGTGCATACGCCGACCCATCCAAACCGACACCTTCACGATGAGGCGGAATTCTATCGCGTTCAGATGGAGTTACTCCGCGAAGAGGTGAACGAGAAAAATTGCCGATCTAGTCAGCATCTCGACGAAAAGGTGAGTCTCTTGTCATTCAGACGGCGACATGTTTGATCGGTTGCGTTGTCATGGGTCAACTAGAATGGCAATTGCCATGTGAACGCCCATGTGCTGGCCAGTAAACAAGTTAGACCCTTCGCCAGTGGCATTCGATGCTAGATTGTTCAACTGCTCCTCAGATTGATCGCCTAGGCAACCAATAGGATGCACCAATTTTGTTCTTACAGAACACACGATCGCCTAGGCAACAGCAATCTAGCCTAAGTCCACCAGCAGCTCGATGAGATTCGAGTACATCCGCGTTTATTGTTGCCTTGTCAGGGGGCAGAGTGGTTTATTGGAAGATACATGTACACTGGCCCGCATCTCCTAGCTGGTTAACTTTTGGAAGGGACTAGTAGACCTGTAGCTTATGCCGAAATAGTGTGTTTACAATTTTCGTCTTCCCAACAATAAGCTCTGATAACACTGAAAATTGAATATTTAAATTGTACTGAGTGAAGAAGATCCCTGGTCCATTCACCTTTACACGTGTGTAATTAATAAAATTCTACCATGAACGACGTGAGCATCCTGTTATGCTGTATTTCGACAACATACCTTTGTTAAGCCGGCTACCATTTCATGTGAGAGTACAAAGGGAAGAGTTTTCTGGCCCGATGGTATAATCTTGCACATTCTGGACGATTTGTTCTGAGCAGAAGATTCAACATCAATAGACCTAATTTTGCCCAGAGCCGACGAATGCTCGAAGAAGCATACCGTGAAGACATTGGGTGAAATGATGGTTAGCTAAGTCGCAAATCACGTTTACTCAACTTTTCATGTGAACTAAAAGGTATAGTAGCATTAAATTATTATTATTATTATTACTCCTATTACTTATATTAATTTAAGTAGTGTCGAGTTTACTGACGAAAACATAGTCGCCTATCAGTTGAAAATGACCCCACAGATTCTATGAGATGAAAGAGGCTTGCTATGCTCTTAAATAGCATGCCTGAGGGGACATCATGTTCCCCTCTCAAACCCCATTTCCATAGTTCGGGTCCCACCGGGGGTGTTGATGAGACGATGAGGTGAAATCGAGACTGAGCTACAGTCAGCATAAGAACGACCTCTTGGGGCTTGTGGTAGCCTGAAATCTTCCCGGGTAAAGCAGAAAACTTTCGGTACGAGGCGAGATTTTTGGCTCCTTATCTTCCTCGTATTTGGTCCAACTTTTGTGGGCTAAGATGGCTGAGTACCTTTTGTTTTTGCCCGCACAAGTGTAGTTTTGTATTCTCTTTCAATTTTACGAAATTGCAGGGAGGCTGGAAGGACCAATGCGTAAGTACCCTACCCTCCTTTGTCCTGCCTTTCCATTCACAAACAGGTCTACAACGAGGCTGGAAAGTCTACAGTATTCCCATTTTTATCCTAATGCACTCTTCATCACTCCCGGCTACGCATGTTCAGCTTAATTCATCCTTTCACTGGCTTTGCACATTATTTCCTCACTTAACCGATGCAACTGAAATCATACGTCGTTGTGTTAGTTTGACTGAGATGCTTGATCAAATAAAGTCTAATCTATGATTTAATTAAAATTGAATTTTTTCCAACATTGGTGCTCTTTCCTCTCCATTGGTTCCCAACCATTGCACCTTTATACCCTTTTCGACTATTTTGCATACTTCATTCGGACATGTTTGATGATTCAGGTGACAATGTCTAACATGCTCCCCCTTTGAAATTGACATATTCGTTGTGTTTCTTGGGCCTTTCTGAGAGTATCTGATTTATCTTGGCACCGTCATCTTAGTGTCCCGATGAGGAACTAATTTTAGCGGAATTCTGTCCATCTCCTGCTCGAGCC